GACTGATAAAGGATTATCTTATCTTATCTTAAGGTCAGGTTAGTAGCAGATAAGGTGAGTGCATGAGTGTATATAATATAACTTTAGATCTTTGAGACGTCTTCATCTAATAAATGAGTCTGAACCAAAACAGGCTGAAGCTGCTTTTCACTACGATGCTGCACAAAGATGGAAACAACTTCCTGGAGATTCTGTTCAGTTTAGTGAGAACGTCCAGACAAAACTGGATCAAACTAAATCTTAAATAATCTAAAGAAACAAAACTAATCACACTGGAACTACCCTTGAAAACTGCTCAGTTATAATTCTTCTCCTGCAGACTGACCCACACAAGATTATCATAAGATCAATGCTTTGTGCCCTCGCTGCCAAAACACACTCGACAGGGTTCCCAGGCAACAGGCGTCCCTCCCCCATCCTCCCCCATCGGCTCACATCCTCTTCCTCTGCTCTGTCGAGTGTCGTCCAGCTCTCTGCTGAGAGTCTTGATGTATGCAGGGTCAGGACCGATCCACCAAAGAAACCCACAGATTGACGTCTGTTAGCACTCAGGTGCATGAAAGGATGAGGCCTGTCGTTACGGAAACACGACCACAGCTGACATCGTTAACCAGGACACAGTTAAAGTCTGCAGGTGCTCGGAATATTTTATTGTCCACAAATGAATGATGGAGGACGGAGTTAATAGATCCGCAGCTGAAAATCACTGACATCTTTAACTGACGAGTTTCACTGATCAATTAGCTCTTCAGTAAAAACTATTTAACGATTTTCTCTCCGACTGTATCTCTCAACCTGAGTCCAGGTTTGCATCCGACTGTACCCGTCACAGATCTTCACCTAACAGACGGAACAGTGGAAGGATTTTACCCCAGAGAGCGGCGTGAAAAACGAGGAGCGTTCACTCTGCAGCTACTTCTGTGAACTGAAATGTCACCTGCACCAGCTCTTTGTCAAGATAAAAAAAAAAAAAAAGGAAGTGGAATCAGCCGCAGAAGGATTGGTTGTAGAAATGTGATGTCAATGTTGTGTTCACAGCTGATTTCCGCAGCCGCCAAGTGGCCAAAAATCCATTATCCCAAGTTGCAGCTGCCCATCTGTAACTTTAACACCATTACATACTTCCTGAGGCTATTATCTTAATTTCCTACCAGTCGATCTTCTGCTGACAGCGTCCTGAAGCGTCCCATGGCCTCTTTGATGACATCAGTCTCCTCCATGTCAGGCTGGTCAAATACGATGCTCTTCCTGTTCTCCTCCATCCAGAGCTGGAACCCGGTCTTGGGTCTGAAGAGACAAAGAGTCAAAAACACAGCAGTTAAAAAAAAGAAAAGTGCTTATGAGCAAGAGGAATCTGTCTTTTCGCTTCAGAGGCTTAAATCGTTCCATATTTGACCTCTTGTTTTCAGTGTTGTCTGCTGGCGAGGCTGTAGGCGGGACCTCCGCTTGTTTCTGTTGATCCGCCGCCGGCTCCGTGTTCTCCTGAGTCTTCTTAGTGGCTGTTTTTGCGGCAGTCATCTGGAGCAGGGTGGACTGAGTCTGGAGAGGAAAGAGGGAAATCACCAATGGTCAACCTCAAGAGGACATTTCGAATATTTGATATGTTGCCGTGTTGTGTTTGGAGTTAAAGTTACCTTTGACTTGGGTCTCGGGGCCAGAGGTTTGAGGACGGGACTTTTGCTGGGTTTCCCTGCAGACCCACCGGGTAGAGCCGACTTCCTGCTGGACGTCATGTTGTCCAGGATGTTGGTCACTCGATTCTGACTGGACGAGGCCGAAGGTTTCCCTGATCCAAAGACCTGAAACCATTTAAACTAAATTATTTTCAATCAATAGTCTGTATTTACATTCCAAGGCTTCTGTGAGGTTCATGGAGAAACATTCAGAACTCTAACACACAATAATGAATGTGATTTAATTCCTGTTTTATTGTCCTCATGACTGAAGACTTGTCCTCATGTCCTTTGTAGGAGACATTTTATACAATTTAAAGGCATTTTTGGAAAAACACCAGCAGATAAATCATCAGTGAAAAAAAATCACATAAGGCTGCCGTTAAAATATCTTGAGTTCTTACCTTGAAGGGATTTGCACGTCCTACTTTACCGACTGAAAAACAAATGAGTGAAATCAGGTGAACTTTCAGATTTTAAATATTTTAACTAACTCTGACATGATCTCTGAAAACTCACAACACTGCAGCCTTGATACTGTACATGAGAATAATAAACATACTTTACATCACTTCTGTTAATTAATACGTATTATGTGTTTTGAAAATAACTTTTTACAGTTGTGGACAAACTACATTTTAAAATACTAAACCGCTAATATTTCTAAATCACAATGACAGTTATGATGCTGAGAGGTGTCGACTCACTTGGTGTCAGAGACGGCATCACCGGTGAACCCGCTTCTTTGGCAAATGGATTCAAACCTAAATGATAAGAGACGTGAATCATATGAGAAACCTTCACTGGTGGCAGATTTGATTTTTACAGAGTAAAGAGGAACTACCGTTTCCTCGGAGACGAAGAAATAAGTGGAACTAACGTTTTCTGCTTTCTGTCATCTCCTCCGTCTCCATCTCCTGTCCGTCCTCTTCCTCCCCGACCTCTTGTTCTTGCTCCTCTTCCTCCTCCTGATTATGTCTGTTGCTGTGACGTCCTCCTTTGACCTCGCTCTGGTCATACCTGTCCAAAGAAGACGGTTGTGACTCACACAGTCTTCCCCTTTGGGATCGTATCTGACCAAACTGCACCCTGGGAGTCGACATTTATTCCTCCCCTAAAGAGATGAATACAGAAGCTTGTACGTTTGACTTTTAATCAAAGATTGAAAAAGACAAGATTCTTTGAAACACATGTTCCTGCGTCCTGCCGATCAAGGTCAAAGGATTTTACAGCAGTTTAAGTGACAGGTGTATTTTTTTTAATTACCCAGAGTGCCGTCTGATGCTTTTGTACTCTGGCTCCTCTTCCTGCTCTTCTGGCTCTTCTTCCTGGATCTGGTTCGCTTTCTCCAGGGCGATCTCACTGAGCCGCTGGGCGAGGGCCATGCGCCGGGATCGGGACGCGTATCGAATGGCCAGAGTCACCACGTTGTGAGTCATCTGCTCCGCCAGCTCCACACAGCGAAACTCTCTCTCCAGCTTACAGGACAACTGGAGGAAGAGGTCGAGAACGCATCAATCAGGAGACGACAAATCAGGGATCATTTCATCAAGTGCGGATCTTTCCACGGGTCAGATACTCACTGCAAACATCTTCAAGAGCAGCTCCTGTTGCTCCTTCTGGGACTGACTCTGTCCGTCCTCGTCTATCTCGTAGCCGCTGGACGACAGGAAGCTGTAGTGGTTGTGGAAGAGGACTGAACGCAAGAACTGCTCCTGGAAGATGACAGAAGACGACAGGCTGATAAGGGACTGTAAGCATCCACATTTCAACATTTTATCTCCGTCTATTTGAAACACTGGTTCAAATGGTTAAGTTTAGAGACATATGGTCTCATTTTGCCGTTTTAGCATCTGTGACATTTACTGGATGAAGCTGCCTCAGGTATGTTCGGTGTGTTTACCTCCATTTGTCCTTTCTCTGTGGAGGTCTGACACAGAGGCATCTTGAAGGGCAGGATGGCCACAGCAGGTCTGGGCAGGGTGGGGGGGTACCTGGCGCCCTTACACGGAATACACCTGAGAGGACGAGGACAGACCGTTTAGATGGCCACCGAATAAAATGAATCAGGAATCCAGATCAAGTGAAAGCACCATGTTGCTTCAGCTATCTAAAACTCAGATGATTATAATGTCTGATAAGATATCGTTAGGTTTTATATTTAAAGCCAAACTTTTAGAGACACACTTAAAAATTTGTGTTGTCAGAGTTTATTGAGCTGTGACTCAATAAATGACCGAGGAGCAAAGTAAATATCTTATTGACCGTAATCTTCCTCTGAGACGTGAAACAGAAACGTGACACGGCAGAGTTCACCTGAGCTGTTGAGGGTTCTCGTGCACTCCGACCACCCAGTAGTGATCCGACTTGCTCTTGCACGTCTCTCTGGTGTTACACACTGGCGTCCATGTGTTTCCCAGGGAGCGGTTAAGCATTCGCACCACCCCCTCCGAATCCACGTAGCAAGGCGTGCCTGAAAAACCACAACACGAGCCGGCCGTAAGAATCCAGGAGAGAAACACCACTTCTGTTCAACTGGATTTTATATGTGTGAATATGAAGTTTTTTCTGGACAGACTGACCCTCAGCAGTGAAGCTGAGCCAGGAGAGGTGGGATCTGAGAGACAGAGGCAGCGGCTCGCCGTTGATGATTTGTCTCTTTCTTCGACTGAACTGCAGCAGCTGGACACCGAGAGCTTGTTCCCCGTCAAAACCTGTAGCTGAAGGCGTGAAATCAAACACAAGCTTCGTCATGTTGGGAGGGACTGTTCAGTACAGGATTAAATACAGAATACATTTCTAATGGACAGTGTATTGGGGAAGAAGTTTGTTTATACTGGTAACATAAATGTGTGTCTAACCCCGGTGGTAGACGATAAGCAGCTGCTCTCCGTGTGCGGCCATGCACACCACAGGTCCTGGAAGACTGAAGATTTCTCTCTGAACACCTCCGATGGAGAAGAGTCTGAGCATCAGCGTGCTGGTGGCGACCGCCACCCAGCCCTGACCCAGACACAGCGCCCTGGCGTCCTCGCCCTTCGGCAGGTCCACCATCCACTCCTTGTTGGTGTCCCACGATGAGAAGTGGAGGCACTGCAGCTTACTGCGAAGAGAGAGGAGCAGGTTCAGAGGCTGGATTTAACCATTCACCTCAGAATTATTCTAAGAGTTTAGAGGGGGTTTACCTGGCGAGCTCGTCTGTGCTGGAGCAGGCCAGCAGCACGGCCTCCTGGGAAATATCCGCCATGGTGTGACCCAGAGAGTTGGTGAGGTGCATGGCGTGGTGCACAGCCGTGTCGTGAAACTCCACGTCGATGGCATTATCCTGCTCGTCATTGTAACCTCGGACTATTCCCACTGAGTTCCACATCTGAGAAACAATTTGGACGTTATGAGAATAACTGCACGTATTATTAAAATAATATAAGAAGGTCAAAATGATCAAAAATAACATGTTATCGGCATTTTACAGGAGAAGCTGCCAGTGGATTTAACTCTGACACGCTGCTCGTGGATTAAATCCGTCTGTGTCTCCTACCATGAAGCGGTGTGTGAGGTGTGCAGGGGTGGAGCCTGACTGAAAGGCCTTCTGAGGAGCAGAGGGCATCGGACCCTCATAGACGGGACGCAGGGGCACCAGGGGGACCGATGGAGGCACTACAGCGCTGCCCGTGTCATCGTCATCGTCCCCGAATTTGTCCAGACCGAGCTTCAGGGATCCTGTGTCTGAACAAAGATGTGCACGCAGAGATAGAGATTTTAAAATACAAAAAACTCCTCCGATCCCTCCCCTCACTCTATCTGAGATTAAACCTCATTCACTGACCCAGCGAGTTCTCGTCGTCCAGAATCGCCCCTCTGTTCCGAACGCGCCCAGTCGAGGGAATGAGGAAATCGTCGTCGTCTTCGTCGCCGTCCACCACGACGCGTTTCTTAACCGGAGAGTTGGTGTCGCTGAGTCCTTCGTCCATGACTCTATCGTCATCGTCGTCATCGAACAGGTCGTCGTAGTCTTTTGCTGTTTTTTTCGCTGGAGCCTGCTGAAAGTCCAGCGACAGAAAGCATGAAGACAACAGCAGGACAAAGATACTGAGAACACCTATAAATATCATCCCTTGTTACCTTTGGTGCATTGGTGTCGGACGTGGAGACGCTGAGTCCGTCCAGCAGACCCAGGCAGCCCTCTGTGTCCGTGTAGGCGATCTGACTGCCGGACGGATGCCAGGCCAACCCGCACACTGTGAAACCTTTTTCATGCTTCTGCCTGCAGCACAGAAGAGAAAACTTTAACTGTACTAACCTGAATCTTCACTTTTCCTGAAACTAGTAAAGTGTTTTGAAAGGTGGTGTGAAGAAAACAATAAGAACTTTGTTACTCACCTTTCCACACACAGTTTGCTGTTCACGTCCCACAGCGTCAGTGAGCCTCCCACGCTGCCGGCCGCCACGAACTGTCCACACGGAGACCAGGCCACCACGTTGATGGGCTGCAGAGAAAAGACAATTTCAATGAAGAGAAAGATCGGACAGAATCCTCACCGGGCAGCGTTAAACTGAACCTTCAGTTCTACTGATCATTTCAAACACAGACTTTCAAGAGGTCGTCACATTGGTACCACGATCACCTTTTTAAACTTTTCACTCCATCACTCGCACAAAAACATTATAACAACAGGAAAATCTCATAACATCAGTAGTTTCTGCTTTAGTTTCATCCGGTCAGCACAGAGGTGT